GTGATCATCAGTCAGTGTGGTTTAATATAAGAACAGTGACTGAGTCACACCACACAAAAACAAAAGTTTTAGACTTTAGAAAAACAGACTTTTCTAAAATTAGAATATGGGTAGAGGAGTCATTATCAGACTGGAGCAATTTAAATGGAGTCCAAGAGAAATGGGATTATTTAAAAGTTGCACTATTGAAGGCAACAGAAAATTGCATTAGGCTTGTCAGTAAAAGCAAAAAATTCAAGAAACCACTGTGGTACTCCGCAGATGTGGCCAAAATAGTTAAAAACAAAAAGTTAGCATTTAGGAATTATAAAAAAAACCAGAGTGAGGAAGACAAAATGATCTATAAGATTAGGCAGAAAGAGGCTAAGCAAGTTATAAGAGCTTCCAAATCACACACAGAAGAGAAAATAGCACAGTCAGTAAAAAAGGGGGATAAAACATTTTTTAGATACATAAATGAGAAAAGAAAAGTAAAACAAGGATTAGTTAGATTAAAAACAAGAAGGAAGGTATGTAGAAGAGGATAAAGGTCTAGCTGACTGCCTCAATGAATATTTTTGTTCTGTATTTACAGATGAAAATGAAGGAAAGGGACCTCAGTTGAGAAAAAGGATAAATGAGTTATTTATTACACATGAGTTTACAGAGGAAGATGTTCTATTTCAACTGTCAAAAGTAAAGACAAATAAGTCAATGGGACCTGATGGAATACACCCAAAGCTATTAAAAGAGCTTAGTGGTGTACTAGCAAAACCATTAACAGATTTATTTAACCAATCATTGTTAACAGGAGTAGTCCCAGAAGATTGGAAGTTAGCGAATGTTGTGCCCATTTACAAGAAAGGTAATAGGGAGGAATCGGGCAACTATAGGCCAGTAAGCCTTACTTCAGTAGTGGGGAAGGTGATGGAAACCATGTTAAAGGATAGGATTCACCCCACCTAACATGACACAGATACTCTCCACCAGGCACGTAAAGCCACTGTCAGCATGCTACAAAACACTGATCACCGCGACAGCCCCTTGCGATCTGGGAAGCCTACTGCAAGGTTTTAATGCGGTGGTATCTGGTACCACAAAGACTAGCACACATGTACCCGGGCACGTCCAGGAAATGCTGGAGGTGCAACATAAGTGAGGGAACCATACTTCATATCTTCTGGGCTTGCCCCCTACTAGCAGACCACTGGGAAAAGGTTCACTCCCTCATACTAGATAAAACAGGGTTCACCCTACCCATGAAGCCAGAACATTACATTCTCCACATAGCACCCGTTATTGCCTCCCATCCACACAGAAAAGTAATCCTTAACATACTCACGGTAGCGAAAATAATGTTGGCTGGCAGCTGGAAGAGCAATCAAACACCAGCCGCAATCAATGTAAATAACAGAATGGACAGGATTAGTCAATATGAAAAAATGGCAAGTAGAGCAAACGGCTGTAGTGAGAGATATGACAGAGAATGGAGCAGCTGGCCGTCTGAAAGTTAAAAGGCTGAACAGGGGCAACAGGGTCACACACAGGGTCACATTCAACAAACCATTATAAAATGCAATTCCTTTTCCTTATGTAACCCATCCTCCATCCCCTAGTTAAAAGTTATATAACAATTACAATGCAGCTAGCGTAACAGATGTGCAGCACAAGCAGTTGTTCCTACCCACACCGAAACGACACATAACACGAGCGAAGGATGAGTCACAGCACACGATATAAGCGCTCCTCGGTGCGGAAAGTCCAAGGTCATACCATCCTGGACGATGATGAAAAGACTCCAGACTTACACAAGAAATATGTGGGGCTAATCTTTGGAATAGGGAATCCACAGCTGCGCCTGTGATTGAAATGGCATGTCGCATTTGCACTGCGCTGCAAAATGTATGATCTTTTGTTTTGCACCAATAAAAAAGATAAATGAGAAAAAAAAGGATAGGATTGATGAACATCTAAAAACACATGGATTTCAAGATCAGAGACAACATGGGTTTACTTCAGGGAGATCATGCCAAACTAATCTTATTGATTTTTTTGATTGGGTAACTAAAATTATAGATAAGGGTGGTGCAGTAGACATTGCTTACCTAGATTTCAGTAAGGCTTTTGACACTGTTGCACATAGAAGGCTTATCAATAAACTGCATTCTTTAAGTTTGGATTCCAATATTGTTGAATGGGTAAGGCAGTGGCTGAGTGACAGGCAACAGAGGGTTGTAGTTAATGGAATATATTCGAAGCTTGGACTTGTCACCAGTGGGGTACCTCAGGGATCTGTACTTGGACCCATTCTCTTTAATATTTTTATTAGTGATATTGCAGAAGGTCTTGATGGTAAGGTATGTCTTTTTGCTGATGATACTAAGATATGTAACAGGGTTGATGTTCCAGGAGGGATAAGCCAAATGATTTAGGTAAACTAGAAAAATGGTCAGAATTGTGGCAACTGACATTTAATGTGGATAAGTGCAGGATAATGCATCTTGGACGTAAAAACCCAAGGGCAGAGTACAGAATATTTGATAAAGTCCTAACCTCAACATATGAGGAAAGGGATTTAGGGGTGATTATTTCTGATGACTTAAAGGTAGGCAGACAATGTAATAGAGCAGCAGGAAATGCTAGAAGAATGATTGGTTGTATAGGGAGAGGTATTAGCAGTAGAAAGAGGGAAGTGGTCATGCCATTGTACAGAACACTGGTGAGACCTCACTTGGAGTATTGTACACAGTACTGGAGACCGTATCTTCAGAAGGATATTGATACCTTAGAGAGGGTTCAGAGAAGGGCTACTAAACTGGTTCATTGATTGCGGGATAAAACTTACCAGGAAAGGTTAAAGGATCTTAACATGTATAGCTTGGAGGAAAGACGAGACAGGGGGGATATGATAGAAACATTTAAATATATAAAGGGAATCAACACAGTAAAGGAGGAGACTATATTTAAAAGAAGAAAAACTACCACAACAAGAGGACATAGTCTTAAATTAGAGGGACAAAGGTTTAAAAATAATATCAGGAAGTATTACTTTACTGAGAGGGTAGTGGATGCATGGAATAGCCTTCCAGCTGAAGTGGTAGAGGTTAACACAGTAAAGGAGTTTAAGCATGCGTGGGATAGGCATAAGGCTATCCTAACTATAAGATAAGATTAGGGACTAATGAAAGTATTTAGAAAATTGGGCAGACTAGATGGGCCGAATGGTTCTTATCTGCCGTCACATTCTATGTTTCTATGTTTCTATATTTATTTTATAGTAGACAGCTGCCTTGAGGTGTTGCTGCCTGATATAATATTAAAAACAAAAAGAACTAATCCTCCTGCCCAATCCAACAAATGTAGAAATCTAGGGTCACATCCAAAGCTTCAACTCTAAAAACCCTCCCCAGCAACACCTATGCTTAGCATGATCGGGGCAGCCACCCTCGTTGACATGGACCCTCTGATTCCACCACATGTCCTGACATCCGGTTTAGAAGCCATGCCAGCACTGACACCAAAGTATAATCTGTCATAATCAGTTGCAGAAGGTCCAGAAGAAAGTTCACCAAAGAAATCAGACCTTGAGTTGAGCCAGTTGTCTCAAGAGTTGCCTTCATAGCCAAAGCTGCAATATAACTGGGCCTTCGAATAAAGGGTCTGTTCATTAAATGTCTCTCTGTTAGAACAGGCAGAATACACACAATAGTTTCTATTTTTCTCCAAACGGTAAAGAACATTTTTATTTTCCTTTTCATTTTTATTACTTTTTGCTACTTCTCGTAACTATTGAATCAGGAAACAAATTCTGATTTCCTTCCTCTACCAAGAGATTGTTTCCTTCTCATCAAACAACTTTGCGATAATGTCACAACATGCCTTATCTTAGAAACTTTGTGACAGTTGATTAGTTTATGTGACACGTTTTACGATCACTTACTCTGAATGAAGAATTGCATCATCCAGAGCTTGCATTTCAGTTTTATTTTCTGTTTCTCTTTTAACATATGGATGGGACACCTAATTCAGTTTGTGAACGGATCGAGTCAGGAATATAGATACCCACAACATTGCATGTAGCAAACCAAAAATGGTACGCTCACTCTCATATTAACCTACATCTTTTTGGTCAACAATGATTTGTCAGAGGGAAAAAAGCTAATACAAAAAACCTGAAAACTTTTTGTTTGTATTTTTTTAGCTGCTGAAAGAACTTTTATTTAGAGTTTTGTTTTTTTTCTTATTTTCAACAATATAAGTAATATATAAAAAATCAGGGTTGTCAGATTTTGACTTTGCACCTTTGGCGGTCTACGTTTTGCATACTCCTCTTGAATTATAGTCTAACAATAGCTACAGGAACCGATGGTGCTTCTCTATTCTTTAGAGAGCCTAGTATGTACATGTCCTGTCTGCACACGGGATGCATCTGAAGATGTGTATTCATTGCATACATGTTATACTCATAAAACCCTATTATTATTTTTTTATTATTACTGGCATTTATAAAGTTTTAACAAATTCAACAACTCTGTACAGTTGGGTAAAAATGCAGTACAATATACAAAGACCAATAAAGAACTGAGATCAAGTTATTAAAGCTCTTTTACACAAAGTATTTTGATAGCCATTGCACTCGGAATCTAAAGGTTAAAGTGGAGAGTTGAGGCGAGAGGTAGTAGGGGGTATTGGAAGGTGATGGCCAGAGAGAATTAAAGGATAATTGCAGCCACCGGTAATGTGTACATGGGATTGGGAGGCAGGGCCGGACTGGGAAAAAAATTCGGCCAGGGCATTTTTTTATCACAGCGGCCCACTAAGAAGGGGGCAGGGCAGAGAGGGTGTGTTTTGTCATCACTTGTGACAAACACGCCCCCTCTCAAAGTGAGCATGTTGGTTCAATGCTCTTCCAGGGCAGACCATGCACAGAGCTCTGCTGAAGAGCTCTAGCATGAGAAAAAAGCCCTGTATTTGTTCTGCACAGTGCAAGCAAATTTAATAACATGCTTGCACTGTGTTTCCTTGCAACTTGTCTCTGGTGTCTCTATAAATGGATACCAGGAGACAAAAGGGCCAGGAAAGAGTATTGTGCATGTGTTTGGAGCCTGCTTGGGGTATTGCGTGTGTGCAGAGTGAGCTGGTCGTGGTGTGGTATTGTGTAATAAGGTCGGTTTTAGTCGTGTTGTGTTTGTGGTGTAATGTAATGCATATGTGGCTAGGGGCTTTAGAGAATGTGTGTTTAGGGGATGTAGCAAGTGTGTGTATACAGGCTATAGTGTGTGTGTGTGTGTGTGTGTGTGTGTGTAGGTGATGTAGTGTTTGTAGAGAGTGTGTGTTCAGGGAATGTAGTATGTGTTTTCTTACAAGGACCAGGAAAGAGTATTGTGCATCTGTTTGGAGCCTGCTTGGGGTATTGCGTGTGTGCAGAGTGAGCTGGTCGTGGTGTGGTATTGTGTAATAAGGTCGGTTTTAGTTGTGTTGTGTTTGTGGTGTAATGTAATGCATATGTGGCTAGGGGCTTTAGAGAATGTGTGTTTAGGAGATGTAGCAAGTGTGTGTATACAGGCTATAGTGTGTGTGTGTGTGTGTGTGTGTAGGTGATGTAGTGTTTGTAGAGAGTGTGTGTTCAGGGAATGTAGTATGTGTTTGGTTACAAGGAATCTAGTGTGCGTATAGGGGATCCAGAGTGTGTGTGTGTTTGAAGGACCCAGAATATGTATAGGAGATCTAGTGAGCGTGTGTATATAATGGATTCAGAGTGTATATAGGGATCTAGTGTGTGTATGTGTGTAGTTGATCCAGAGTTGGGTAGAGGATCTAGTGTGTGTCTGGAATGAAATGTGTTTAGGGGTGCTGTGTGTGTGTGTGTGTGTGTGTGTGAGGGGTGCTGTGTGTATATTTATATGTGTGTATACAGGGAGTGCAGAATTATTAGGCAAGTTGTATTTTTGAGGATTAATTTTATTATTGAACAACAACCATGTTCTCAATGAACCCAAAAAACTCATTAATATCAAAGCTGAATATTTTTGGAAGTAGTTTTTAGTTTGTTTTTAGTTTTAGCTATGTTAGGGGGATATCTGTGTGTGCAGGTGACTATTACTGTGCATAATTATTAGGCAACTTAACAAAAAACAAATATATACCCATTTCAATTATTTATTATTACCAGTGAAACCAATATAACATCTCAACATTCACAAATATACATTTCTGACATTCAAAAACAAAACAAAAACAAATCAGTGACCAATATAGCCACCTTTCTTTGCAAGGACACTCAAAAGCCTGCCATCCATGGATTCTGTCAGTGTTTTGATCTGTTCACCATCAACATTGCGTGCAGCAGCAACCACAGCCTCCCAGACACTGTTCAGAGAGGTGTACTGTTTTCCCTCCTTGTAAATCTCACATTTGATGATGGACCAGAGGTTCTCAATGGGGTTCAGATCAGGTGAACAAGGAGGCCATGTCATTAGATTTCCTTCTTTTATACCCTTTCTTGCCAGCCACGCTGTGGAGTACTTGGACGCGTGTGATGGAGCATTGTCCTGCATGAAAATCATGTTTTTCTTGAAGGATGCAGACTTCTTCCTGTACCACTGCTTGAAGAAGGTGTCTTCCAGGAACTGGCAGTAGGACTGGGAGTTGAGCTTGACTCCATCCTCAACCCGAAAAGGCCCCACAAGCTCATCTTTGATGATACCAGCCCAAACCAGTACTCCACCTCCACCTTGCTGGCGTCTGAGTCGGACTGGAGCTCTCTGCCCTTTACCAATCCAGCCACGGGCCCATCCATCTGGCCCATCAAGACTCACTCTCATTTCATCAGTCCATAAAACCTTAGAAAAATCAGTCTTGAGATATTTCTTGGCCCAGTCTTGACGTTTCAGCTTGTGTGTCTTGTTCAGTGGTGGTCGTCTTTCAGCCTTTCTTACCTTGGCCATGTCTCTGAGTATTGCACACCTTGTGCTTTTGGGCACTCCAGTGATGTTGCAGCTCTGAAATATGGCCAAACTGGTGGCAAGTGGCATCGTGGCAGCTGCACGCTTGACTTTTCTCAGTTCATGGGCAGTTATTTTGCGCCTTGGTTTTTCCACACGCTTCTTGCGACCCTGTTGACTATTTTGAATGAAACGCTTGATTGTTCGATGATCACGCTTCAGAAGCTTTGCAATTTTAAGAGTGCTGCATCCCTCTGCAAGATATCTCACTATTTTTGACTTTTCTGAGCCTGTCAAGTCCTTCTTTTGACCCATTTTGCCAAAGGAAAGGAAGTTGCCTAATAATTATGCACACCTGATATAGGGTGTTGATGTCATTAGACCACACCCCTTCTCATTACAGAGATGCACATCACCTAATATGCTTAATTGGTAGTAGGCTTTCGAGCCTATACAGCTTGGAGTAAGACAACATGCATAAAGAGGATGATGTGGTCAAAATACTCATTTGCCTAATAATTCTGCACTCCCTGTATATATATATATTATATAAATATGTTTGGAAGTATTGTGTATGTGTGTGATGCAGTGTATCGGGGGTTTGTGTGTGTATGTGAGGGGTGCAGTATGTGTGTGTGATGGATCCTGTGTGTGAGGTGTGGGTGCTGTGTGAGGGTGTTGTGTGTGTGAGGGTGCTGTATGTGTGGGTGCTGTATGTGATTGATTTGTGTGAGGGTGCTGTGTGTGTGGGTGCTGTGTATGATGTGTGTGAGAGTGCTGTGAGTGCTGAGTGTTATGTGTTTGAGAGTGCTGTGTGAGAGTGCTGTGTGTGAGAGTGCTGTGTGTGAGAGTGTTGTGTGTGAGAGTGTTGTGTGTAATAGTGATGTGTATGTGTGTGAGAGTGCTGTGTGAGTTGTGTGTGAGTGCTGTGTGTGTTGTGTGAGAGTGCAGAGTGTTGTGGGGATATTTATGGGATAATAATAGTAAACAGTTGAGAATTGCCCACTAATTCAATTCTCAGATCCCAAAGAACGTTTATCGTGTTAAGTGGAATGTATTTCATATAAATAATCACAATGTATAAAAATAGATTTTTATTTATATGACAAATTAATAATAATAATATTATATGTAACATGCATAACAATAATCAATGAATATTCAGTATAAAACGATATGCAATACAAAGAAATGGGTATTACGTTTCAATGGCTAAATAGCTCATTATCTGTCAAGACTTCTACGATTTATGAGGTATCCTTAACACAGGCTGAAAGTGAAACTTTTCACACAGAGAACAGAATTCCTCAGAGTGCAGCATAAGGTCGTAAAGTTTAGCCGACAGTTAGAATAACCCTTTCAATGCTGGCTAGATCTCCTAGGTAGTTAAGATCTATTCTTATGTAAATTTTAAATAAAATAACATTTAAGCCAGTTTAAATTCATTTTCTTAAACCATCCATAAGAGAATTTACCACATTATATAAGCAGATTTTTAATTTGTCTAAAAGATATCTATCTTAATTTAGAGCAAATCAATACACCTGGATAAAAACAGAGGTATGCTAACACGTGATAATATCACATCAATATATAATTATTCTTAATTCCACCTGCAGAATGGAATGTTTATAACTATATATTCTTAGTTAACTAAGATTTCTTAATATGGAAATCTGACCGTGCTTTATCCAGTCATATATAATGCTATTAATACATTTTAATTAATTTAATTAATTAAATGAAACCAGTATAATTACCAGTTGAGTAGATATTTCATCCGATTGGTAGTCTCTCTGCATGGAGGTGTTGGTTAGAAAGTCAGTAAATTCTAAGTGTTAGAGTTTTAGGAGTAGAATGTTAGTCTCAGATGTTGTCCGAGTTGGAATCCCCAAACTTCCAATTCCTCTCTTTTCTCTTTTGCATATCTTGCATCTGCCTCCTCTCCTGTATCTTGTCTCTTGTATCTGCCTCCTCTCGTCTTCTCTATCTTTTAAAGGGCCAGACTCTCTGTACGTCATCAGTTGATAACCCAATAGAAGCACTAGAGGTGTGGTTATCTTCCAGATCGCAAATTAGTTATTTGGTCTGTAGAGGGCAGTCTTGTCCCACTAAACATACCTATCCAGGAAAGAGTTAACTTTTCCTGGTGGCTATTTTGACGTCATTTTGCGTTATCTTTATAGCGCCATAATTTAAAATTTCAAAGGGTTTCTTAAATTTTGTCCAGACTTAGCGTCTGCAATTCCTGCCATAATTTCTGATATGACAGATCATGAACTAAGTTTACCCTTTTCCATACAATGGTACCTTATATATATAGACAGTTAAATATTAAATTATTTACTCTTCTCTGTCACAATTGTCTGGGTTTAGATTTGATTATATTCCATTAGCATTTTAGACAGTCTATCCAACCCCCTTCCTTATCACTTGTTTGTATATACTATGCATTCCTCAGATCTGGGAAAGTGGTTAGCTTACAGATAGAAATATAGTGTCTCTTTGTCTTTGTTAACTTGGAATAACAAAATGGAGTCTGGTCTGTTCAGAGTGACTCAGAATATACACTTTTAGTTTCTATCATAGCACAAGATGTCTGCCGATATAAATACCCTGACATAACCCCCCTTTAGTGCATTTCATAGCCAAAATTAATTTAGCTTATGAATAAGCACTATAGACGTTATCAGACATATTGTGCAATCACATCATTTCTAACATAGGCCCGTGCGTGGAATGAACATTTTTGTATATATTTATACCTGTAAAAGTTTTGAACTTTACACTTAGTACAATCAACCATAATATCATTATTACATAGTACATTGTTTTCATTTGAAAAATGTCTTTGGGAGTTACATATGGTATGGTCAATAAAAAGCAAATCTCCATACGTTCCGGATTAATTAAGAGAGGTATAGCGCTCCCCATCTCAAAGGCCAGATTTAATTGCATAGGCTCAATTGTCTCTCCATCCACATTGGCAAGCATCGCATGAACAATATCCTTGGATACAAAATACAGAGGTATGCGTCCCCCTGCCAATTCGATCATTCCAGTTTGCACTTCGTCGAGAAAAGCAAGTGTGTGGAACAATATTGGGTCATGCAGAAATAGAAGTTCACGCTTAAATAAGTCATGACTTTGGTGCAACTCAGTGGATTTGGCAATTAACTCCGAATGCAAATTTGTTGTAACAACTGTGTCTTCCACAATAGTTAACACGTCTTGGAGAAGTGTTCTTTGCTGTTGTATCACCTGATGAATATCGTTAATGTGTTGCTTTAGCGCATAGATTTCCATATCCAGCTTTTGGACAGTAATAGAGTTGGCTGCAGACATTCCAGTTGCGACAACTGCACCGACAGTGGCACAAACTAATGCAACAATTATAGCGGTGAGGAACCTTTTGGGTCGGTTGCTCATCGGAATAGAACTGGATACAAATGGTTTCCGGGCTTGCTCCAAGATGTTTCGCACACGGTCCTGTGCTCTTTGGAGGTGCATCTGGTACCAAGTCTGTA